GTTCGCCCGACAGCTCCCTCGCCCTTACGCTCGTGGCTTCTCACTGCCAGCGGCCTCATGGACCGGCTAACGGCAAGCAACTCGAACTTTAAGTCTGTTTCGTGCAAGAGAACCCAACTCCATCGATCTCCGTTCGACGTCGCTTTAGTCTGCAAAGGTATTCTTACGCAGGTGAAGGAGGCAGCAAACGCGTCTGAAGCAAGATAGGAAAGCGCACTCGGTAAAGGCGTTTGCACCCTAATGAATTCCTTTTTCTTTCCGGCGAATCCACGCCGTTTCTGGCAGTTTCAGGGGAAGGACATGCCACTGGTCGAGTTACCTGCCCTCGGACGCGAACATTTTTCCCCTCCAGTCGGCTTCGACGATGGTAGCTTTCGTATGGTGGATGCGCCACTTGAGGGCCGGCAGTGGCGCAGCGGCTGTCGAGCTTAATTTCGGATTAGCCTTGTTCTCGGCCAAACTCATAAATACGACGAATGGGTTGAAGCTTCGTTGTAGAGCTTTTCAAGCGTTTTGTGTGTGAACCTTGTGAAAACTCTGACTCGCATTAGATCGATGTTCTCGGACCACCCGTACACGGCGCGCTAGCGCAAGGTTCTCTCGTGACTGGCCGGCGATTTCTCCGGCTGAAGTTCCCAAGAGGATAATCACTTTTCCTCCTTCGTGGCGGATGCGAGAGAACGTATAGTCCAATTTTCGAATTGGTAGGAGTCGTCTCTCATTTATGTATAGAACTCCAAATTCTTAAAAATTTATACTAGTTTGATTGCTTATTACAGCGAATACGATTCTTTGTTATGGAAACCTCGATAGATTCAAATACAGTTTAATTCAAAAAATTTAGAATAATAAGTCATTTAGAAATAATTAGTTTATGAATTCCATTATTTAATTTCGACGCACTCGTGCTTTAGCTAGTGCGCTTTACATTTCATTTCCAACAAATCAATATATTTGTATCTGAATATTGTATTGATTTAATTGAATTTGGTAGACTAGTGCTATTAAAGTTTTAATGTATAAGCTAGAAATTTAGGAGATTTACTATAAAATATGACAGCTGCTACAGTACGACTGTTCTATATAAATTTGGATCCTAACTAGAGAGACCGACAGTATTGGAAGTAGTGGATTTTGTAGCTTTATTCTCTTATATAAAGAAAATAGTCACTCTTAAACTAGTCTAATTATTGGAGGTAGAATAGTCTTTCATAATTTGGTTGTCTATTTGTTAGGAAGTTGTGCTCGTTAATGAGTAGAGAATGGAATTAAAGTGAAGAATTAAATTTTGTAATGGCAACATGTATTTTGTTTAATCTCTTTAAATATTTAATATTGAGTTTTAAGGTTTTGAAAGTAGTGTTGGTTGTAAAGAGTATAAGTGAATAATCGTGTAATTGTTCGGTATTGTCCCCGTGTAAAGGAAGGTCAATGGTATATTTAGATTTGATTGATTGTGTCTAATGGATGGGTTTATGTGGATTGACATGAAATCATAGGAGAGTATTTCACATTATCTTAGCAGGTAGAAAATCCCTAATTTCTTAGAGGATATAGAGTTCTGTCGAAATTTCGATAATAATATAAACCTAGATAATCTAATTTTATAATGATTAGCGTTAATAGGAGTTATTTAAAAATAATTCTTTAACCCTCGATTTATATTTAAAATAGAGTAAGCTATTATTGATGTCAATTGACTCTCAATCTGCCGCTTCAATGTCATTCCGTTTAAACTGCTGTAGTTTTGTTCATGTGCTTCACAGGTTAAGGACCCAGATTAAAATAGAGTGGTTCTATCACAATTTTACGCAATTGTAGGTTAATAATAATTAGTAATTTACCATTTTGCCATCCTACAATAAGAATGCATTTTTGTACTAACAGACCTTTCGTCACTTAATTATTTATGTTATCATTATTATGTTTATCTATATCTGATTTTATATATTTATATTATTATATATAAGTGATATTTTGTATTGAAATGTTTATTTGCGCTAATGCAATTCTATCCTGTTTTTAATTGTATATAATGCTATTATGCTTTGCATAATTACTTGCATATGTATTTGATTATCTGCGTTCGATTCATTTTATTTTTGTTTTTTGCGTGGGATTGTGAGAGAGATACTTGTGGAATATAGATATGAGATATAGATATGATAGTGAGGATTAGATAGTATTATTTATACCTGTGTGCAATCTGTTGATAATGAAGATTATGGAAAATCCTCGCACTATTGGGTGACTTCCTATTTGGTGGAGCACAAAGAAAAGATCTCAGTAATAACAAAAAAATGAGAGGGCTATGGGCAAAGCGAGGATTAGATCCAAGTGCGAGTCCATAAATTTTTTAAGTATTCAGGTGATCAGGCTTCCTGGGTGGGCACATGGTTATTAGGTAGAGCGTTGAGCATGTGAGTACGACTTGTCGAGTGGGGTTTATTCGTGATCACCAACTGACCCAATTTCGCACTTGGTGTGTTACGGTGGAAAGGATGAGTTTCTTTTATGTGAGATATGCTCGACTGACGTTAAAGTGTTCTCTCCATATGCTTGATTGACTGGTGTGATTCATTTTAGGACTTTTGAGGCATCATTCGTGTATGAGCATGCTTGTACTATGCCAATAAATACTATTCATTATTAAACTCACAACTTTTTTTTGTTTAACTTTTTCAGGACGTAAATTCTTTTTCTATTGTCCGCGGTTCAAAGTTCTGTTCGGCTTTCACGTGCGCAAGATAAAGGTTAGCAATAGAAAATATCCATATAATTTACAGATATTAATTTAATTTATATGTATTATAATGTAACTAACCGCGCCCTTTCTTTCTCATATTATTCTATGTTTTAAGTTGCCAAAACGTTATGGAAAGATTTATAAGTTATTTAATTTATGTTGAATGCATGAATCTGTTAGCCGCATAATTTAAAATAATATTTGGGGTATTATAATTGAATCTGAGCTGTAAAATGTATATAAGATGTTAGACGTTGGGCCAAGGTCATCAGACTATCCTTAATTATTGAGATTTTAATTCATAGCTCTAATGAGATATTAATGAGGTCTTGGATGGTTATTTGAAAATTCAATAATTGACTATGGTGTGATATTTTAGTGGTTCAGGTTTAATTACGGGTCTGCGGGAAGCCTTAATGCTAGCAAAAAGCTTGAAGTATATGAATTCTTGATAGTGCAAATAGCATAATACAAATTTTTTTGTTAGATAAGCAGATAATAACAATTATAAAGCGACGATATACTCAATATGAGTGGTAATGATAAAACAAATTTCTAATTAGAAAATGGATAAGTAAAGATGATAAAATTTTTCTAATTAAGGAATGGGAATACAATTTTGTAACAATAATAATTAGAATACGGATTAGATTAAAAACTATAATAAAATAATTACAATACTATAAGTAACGACGGGGTAATTAAAATTGATAATCAATCATTTATAATTTAAATTGGCATATTATAAGCATTTATGGAATTCCCAACGTTAGCTAGGGTTTTCAACAAATTTAATTGCATAATATCAATATTATTAAAATTATATATTTTTATTATCAAATGGAATAATAGAATTAATATCAAGGCTTTTTTATTTATTGACACCAACCATTAATATTGATAATAAAAATTATACGTTCATATTTTATATGAATCCCGAGTTAATATTGTATATAAATATATATATAGAATTAAATTAATCTTTATTTGATATTTTAATCGACAATAAGCCTATCCAATAAAATTAAAATTTACTAATTACGAATAAATGAATATAAATTATCCTTTATTGTCAATAAAAATTTAAAAAATTTAAAAGTTTATCTCGATTACAAATAAGACTAAATTATCCCAATATATTTTTAAATCATTTAGATTACGCAAGAGCATTTTAAAGAATCCATGTTCCCAATTCGTACTTATATTATAGGTATATTATATATATATATACGAGAGAGAGAGAGAGAGAGAGAGAGAGAGCAGAGTCAGAGAGAGAGAGAGATTAATTTATCAAATTACAAACTTACTATCAACTGAATAATTGTATTTTTCAGCAGGTATAACATTAAAAAATCAATTTTTATAATTGACAGAGATTTAACCAAGCTTATATTTTTTATTAAACATTCTAAATGTTGGCCTTATAATTTTTTTGAAATTTTTTAATAAAAAAAAAAATACGGAGGAGAAACTTTTAAACCAGCTTTTCAAAACTTTTACGACTTTTGTGTCATGCAATAATTTAGACACAGCTTACTGGCAAACATTGAGGTCCACTCTCTCTACACACACACAAGCACACACATCAACCAACACACACACACACACACAATATATATATATATATAATATATATGCAAGATATATGTAATATTTATTTAATATGTATTAATAGTATGCATATAATTTATTATAATATATTATTTTAATATGTATTATAAATAACAATATCAATTAAAATTTTGTATTATTTAATAATAGTTCTTATTTTCAAACAATTATAAATAAAAATGATCAATAAAATATTAATTTGAAAACACAGTTATTTTTTTGAGAATTTATTATTTTTGCAACATTAATATATTCCAAATACAATATAAATATAAGTCAACTTGTAACTAATAACAAAAGAACTCAAAAATATAACTTTTGAAATAAAATGAAATGATCACATACCAAAGGACAGCTTGCCTCCAGAGGTATCTTTCATTTATATTTGATCAAAATTAAGAAGTATATGATCTTAATATATGTAATAAAACTTAAAAATTATCATGGTGAATTTAACTTTTAATTTTTTTTTCCTTCTTTTTTCTTTTTTAAAGAAAAAAAAGACTTTATTGAGAGAGAATGAGAGGAATGTACAGCATAAAACAAATCTTCCTATATAATTCAACAGCCAATTATAAACATAACATAAAAAAAAACAAACTAAAAAAAAAAAAAAATACAAATCCCATGGACAATGATCAAGTTTTAATATTAAAGAGTCACATCTTGTATTGAACAATAGATTAATGTAAAGCAGGACAACAAAGCAAGAACAAAAAGTTTCAAATCCCATGTACAAGGATCACCAATCACATATTACTAAATCAATATGGTTTATATATATATGTACATCAGCATTACTTATCTACAGAAGACTGTACACAGTTCTGATTCTAGGATTCAAGATTTGTTGCATTCTGCTTCATTTCAGCAGTTGGTATCATGCAGCAAGATTTCTGTCAGGCACACCATAATGTCAATTTGTAATTCCACGATCCTACGTTCGAAAATGAATTCTAGTTTAAATTGTAGGTAAGAGCCTGAAAACTTTCAAGACATGTGGTTAGAACCAGCCCCGCCCAGTTGTTTACACGGGCCAGGGTTGGGACACAACTACATACTCCAAAGTAAGAGTTTCATCACTGCTGGAAATATTGTTGTCAGTCAAACAAAGATGGAATGATTTCATATTATGATATTAATACCAACCAGGAGCACCTCGCTTTTGATTGAGCTAACAAGAAAATAGAATAGTTGTTACCTGGTCAGATTTTGGTCACACTCCATAGTAATAGACCTGGTGCAATACAGCAAGGAATCACTAATCAGCATTCGATTCATGGTAAATCTAAAAGCTTAGATACAAAGCATATATGTGTATGATACTAATAAAATTTCTGAATGGTGGATATGATCCACAAATTTGATGGTTTGTATTGAATATAAAGGCCCCATTTATGTCAAGGTCCTGTACAGTCTACTAGCAAAACCAAATATGTGGGACCCAAAAAAGACGGGAATCGAGTATTTCATGAGTTCAGACAAAAGTTATAAGAATAATGAAGATTTCAAGATCATCAGTTTGAGTTCAAGCAAATATGAAAATTGCCTTGAACCTTATAATAAGTGTGGTAAAACAAAGCGTGCAAAGTAGAAAAAATATACCTTGATGGTCCTATCACCATGACCAACAAAAAGCTTTCCTTGCCGGTATAACAAGGACGTTACAACAGAACTGCCAGGGATTGATCCAATGGATCTGACATCTACTTGAAATTCATCTCCTGACAATTCCTACCATCAATGCAACATTGATCAGGTTATGAGAAGATGAAGGAGATCTGGAACTTTCCAAGAAATTAGTCCAGAAAGAAAAAAACTAAGATAATATGAATACACCAAAATTAATTTTGGAAAGCTGAGAAAAAGTTCCAGATGCGTATATTAAAATTTTAAAATAGAAGAATATCACTAGAAAATCAGTTTGCAAACTCCATCAAATGCTAAAAGATAACTTGAATATTTGTTGCCAAGTACCTGTACTTTGATAGTTTTGTCCCAACCTCCAGTAAACAGGCATCCTCCTTCCATATCAATAGCAAATACTGCACCACTATGGAGTTGCATGGATTTCATAAACCTATCATTCCTCCATACCTGAGGATTGCAGGTGATTTCATTCATGAATTTGTTCTCAAAGGAAAAGGAACAGCAATGCATAAAGGATTTGCAATCTAACTTCAATTTACTCTTGGAGTGTGATTTTATTTCTGTGCTCACGATTTAGTGTGGGGGGAAAGGGGTGGGGGGCGGTTGGTGTTATAGCACATATCATGACCTATGTTCAGTACAAATTCATGCAGCATCTAAGTTCTCAAGCACAAATCATTTGGTATCCACATATGCATTAGAACAAAAGGAAACTCATAAGGACAAGAGCATATACAACCTTTATATGTCCACTTTCATGTGCTGCAACAAGTGTATTCTGGCGAATAATAATGGACAAGACAGAGGTCACAGTTCCTGGTATGTCTTCACCTAACACCGTTAAAAGACTATGATCACTTAGACTCCATAGTCGAATGGTTCCATCCCAACTCCCACTATAGAGAACCCCATCACATGCTGCCAATGTGGAAACTACCGATTTATGACCATTCATAGTGCTTGATAGAATGCCATCCTAGATGAAATAAATAAACAAAAAACAATAACATTAAAATCATGTACATTCATCTATGAAATGAAGTGTATAGGGTGAATCAAATACGCAGTGCAAAGCTTTACCTGCAATGACCATGCTTTGACTGACCTATCTCCACTTCCAGTATAAAGATATCCATTTCCTACCGTGGTCAAGGCATGAATGCCACTATATCGCCAATCTTTTTGCTCATACCATCTCTTTAATGGTTCTTTCCTAAGAGGCAGAGTAACACTCCAAAGAAATATGCCACCTCCACTATCACCACTTATGCATAAAGGTTGTTCTTCGTCAACATAAACAAGAGCCATAACTTTATCTTCATGACCTTTAAATGTGTGTACATGGGAGAAATCCTGGAGGAAGAAAAATTGCTGCAAATAAGCTTAAATTAAAGAAATGGGAATAACAAATTTTACTGTGATCTCTATAGTCAATACCTGCAAGGACCAGACGAGAACTGACTTATCAAATGAGGAGCTAAACAAAAATCCTCCTAGAAGAGCAAAGCAATTCACCCTTTGCATCAGAAAAAATACATTTTGCATAAATTTCATAAGTGAATATCACATAGAAGCTCCCACTACATATCATCTAATAAAAGCAACAATGGCCATCTTTGCAATTAAAAGACAAGCTCTTGGCTTGCATTTTCTGGAATGGAGTAGGACAAAGCAAAGATAATTGATGCATGAAAATTTAAACAAAGAAGTATCAGAATTTTCATAAATCATAAGTAGAAATTCACTCCCGAGTAATCCAGTGACCATTTGACACAAAATAAACTGAGCATTAACAATACAATGTTATGAGAGGGATAGTATCTAACTGAAAAAGCACAATTTTGCAACCTAAAAGCATCAATTGAGAATTGCACACCTCCAATGGCTAATGCTGTAACACAGTCAAGATGGCCCCGCATATCTCTCGATTCAACTTTTCCCTCCAATAGGCCCTCAACTAAATGTTTATCAGTCCTCACCTCTTCAACTTGAACTAGGTTTCCTCCAATGCTGCTTCCTGCTCTCACCACCTCAACTTTATTTAGTACTTGTGATCTTTTCTTAGGCACAAGAGACAATTCACCAAGAACCAAGTAATGTTCCTTGCTCCAATCATGAATAGACCCATCCAATCTAAGCATGGTATCAAACTGATTTCCAATAATTAACTCTCTAACACATTTCCACACATTAATCACAAGTGGACGACTCGCTGGATCAAAATTCAAACACTTGCGTAGAATCTGCTGCAATGGTTCAAATTCCTCTCCTAATTTACTTCCCAATAGAGAATTTACTTTCTCTGTCAAACCCACGTAAAGACCTAAACAATTCAAACCATTCTCTTCACTTACTTTTGAAATGAAATTATCCACATAATCAACTAGCTCTTCGACAAATTGATTCCCAATAACAAGTCTAAGAAAAATGCAAGCCAATGACCAAACATCTGAGCTATGCACGACCTGATATCTGAAGTTATCACATTCTGCATCTATGCCCTCTTTCTTCAATATCTCAAACAACACCTCTGGACTGACAAAGATTTCTCTTCTAAAAAATTCACTTACCAATTCTCCAATTTCTTTAACACCAATCCCTTTCCCACAACAACCAGCTTTTATGACACACTCATGAACTACCCTTCCAGTTACTAAAACCTCACTCAAATTCAGATTCACATGTCCAAAATCATCCAATTCGAAGCAAGAAAGACTTAAACAACCCATAAATAATCCTTCCCAATGTGAAGCATATACAGCTTCACACATTTCCATACCCATCATTGAGAAACTAGACAAACCATCATTGCTTAAACCATTTTTAAAGTGGGACAACTGATCCAAAACAGTCAAATTCAATCTCTCACAAACTAAGTACAAAAAACCATCTTCCAAATCAGGCCACAAGCCGTAAACTTTACAAATTCTAAACTGTTCTGAACATATTTTCAAAATCAAACCCACTTCCTCTCTTACCTCCTGTTTCATCCAACACAAAAAATTCATAATCCTAGCTCCATAAGTCAACTGAAAAACAGACCCACACCCATTAACAAGTAACAAACCATCAACAACCTTAACAAGTCTCACCTTTTGATTACCCTTCTTTAAAAATCCGAACCCTTTCTCTTTCTCCTCAATCAAGACGGCGTCTTCCGGGAGAACCCAATTCTTCCAAGTGGCATAAAACTCATCAGGCCATAAACGAGAACCACAGTCAACGTAATGATGAAGGTCTTGAACGCAATTCTGTAACTTCTTCTCGGTTTTCTGGGGATTCTGAAACTGAGAAGAAGAGGGGACGAGTCTAAGAAGGTCAATATTTTTGGGTAGAGAAGAGGGGCCTTGAGATGGAAACTTGACGAGTTGAACACACGCCGGGCAGCGAATAGTTTGAGGATACTTTTGAGGTAAGCTTTTAAGGCATGACTCACAGGTTGTATGTCCGCAGGCGAGTACGCGTGGAATTGTACACTCTCCGTCATAGGTTTGCAAGCAAACTGGACACTCTGGTACATCTGTTGACTCCATTGCCGGTTGATGATCGCCACTACACCGAGCCAAACTCTACTGCTCTCCTTGCTAATTTGCAGCATTCGCCATTCGAAGTCGTTCAATACTTGAAATTTGAAAATAAAATTTTGCTCTCCTACTAAACGACAGCGTTTTCAGCTTTGTCGTTTTGATGTCAAAATAATCCAGTGACCTTATACCTAGTTCATTTTACTCCGGTTTGTCTCGTTAGACTTGAGAAGCTCAACGCAGAAGCTCGGAAAGGGATCTGTGTATCTAAGGTATGGCTTGAGCTCCCCAAATCTCCGCTTTTCTTATTTTACGGCTGGATTTTCTAAAAATAGATCTCCATTTGGTTTCCGAGAAAATGTAGCAGTATCGAAGAAGGAAAATTTGAAACTTCCAAACATTTGGATTTGCATTATTGATTCGATTATTATAATTTTCACCTGCGTTTATGATCTGATGATTCTATGCTTGATTTACACATTATCGCATTCGAAAGTAGATTTCTTTGCCAATAAGGTTCATTAGATTTCGATTTCTGTTTCTGTTTTTCATTGTAAAGTGTCGTCTTGAATTAACTACATAATTCGTTTTTCTGATAATTGACCGTTTATCTGATGCTTTATATATATATATATTGGTATTTTTGCTATATGAAGATCATGGCAGGGCCAGGAAGTTCCATGCTTTACTCCTTTCTTTTGTTCACTGTTATTCTTTCACTTCAAGAGATGTATAGAGGAAAATTAGCATCAACAGAGCTATTTACTATACTCGGAGGCTTTATCAGTTCTATCCTATTTCTTGTGCTGCTAACAGTGAGTTTAAAGCTTGGGAGCCCCTTTTTGTTATGCCGTTTTTTCTGTGTATATTGCCGTGTTTTTGTTCTGTGTATAATATATAATATATTTATATTATTAATATATATATATATTATATATAATCAGTATGTATTATCATGTTATCTCTGCTCCAATGTTTTCAAAGTTGTTTTCTTTTTGCTGGATATATTCCTTGCTGGTGAAATTCCTGTTTATAGTTATGATTGTTTTTATTATGAGATTTCCTCTCTATTTTTCTATTTCATTCCCCCTTTTCCCTAGTACTCTTGCCTGTTGTTGTAATAATAGTAATAATATAAAATCTTGTACCTCTTTTTTCTCAATTTTGCTTAGGAATTTTCTGTTTTTCTCCAGACCGTGTATCTGCATATTAAGTTTGTTGCTGTTCTTTTAATGAAAGTTTCTTGCTTCCTTTTAGTTCAATTGATTATTTTACAAAAATGCATTTGTTCCTTGACAAATGTTTCAACATTGTATCTCTCATCACACCAAACGTCAGTGATGAACTTATTTAAATCTTGTAGTACTCTATTCCAAACCAACTAGCACAGTTGTGCTTTTCAGTTGGTTTGTGTCTTTCACAATAAAAGTTGTATAGATAATGATATGCATTTGCTGGGTTGTTATGCAGTTCCTTGGGAATTTCCAGGAAACGTGTGGCTTGAAGACTGGATGGGGCACAGGTACATGCACTCTTTCTACGTATTTCTTGCCTTATCTTTTTAGTTCGTTGCTTTTGGCTAATGGAGCTGCCATTGATTAAGTACCTGAAAGTGTAAAATGTATCTTAATAAGATATCCAACACATTTCTCTACTTTTTGTTAATTCTAGAACATTTCTTGTGCCCCTGGCATTTGTTCAGGTAATGATCTTTCCCGGCTCAAATACAACTGTGTGCTTGTCCATTCCTTTGTAACTGAGTCACATTGGTTGACCTTCTTCCCTTATTTTCATTGATTAAACTCATTTTAATTTGATCTTAAATCATAGACTGTACCTTGCATTCTTGCAATTAATTTCAAAATGACACGGTGGAGCACAAAACAGTTTTATTCTCAGTTGCTAGCAAATAGAATTTTTTTTTTTTTTTTTTTTTTTCTTTTTTTTTTTTTTTTTTTTTTTTTATAACTTTGACCTGGACTCGAGGATAAGAAAATATACAACTTAGCAAAATAAAAAACAAATATATATTAAAAATGAATATTAAGAGCTGGAAATTTTAATGTTAAATTACCTTTTCCCATGGCATTGGCAATTTAATCTCTTCTCATAGCCATACCGTTATTTAAATTGGCCAATTATTTGGAAGGGATGGTGGCATGGTTGGCAACCGGCCGAAGTCATGAGAATTTTTCCCCATCTCCCCCCCCCCTCACCACAGACCCCTCGGGCATTTTCAATGACTTCTTTGAACTACTCTAACTATAGTAGTTTGTCCCTAATAATAACGGTGCTCAAGATGCCTTAGTTTTCTTTTAACCCCCCTCGGGCATTTTCAATGACTTCTTTGAACTACTCTAACTATAGGTAGTTGTCCTAATAATTTAACGGTGCATCAAGATGCCTTAGTTTTCTTTTAATTAGTACCACACGCACGAGCACCATCTGGATGCACCTGCTTTTGAGTTTCAGCATTTGTTGAACTGCATTTTGTGTATGGTAGTTTCTTATGTTTTCTTCTTCCATTTTGCAGTTGTTCTAGCAGAAGCTGTTGCTCTAATTGCAGCTGGCACTGTTCATCGAGTTTGCATCACAACATGGTAATGTTAAGATGGAATTAATGGTTTTGTGTCTCAATGGACATTATTGTTAATGCAAGATAGTATGAAGAGTTAGGTGGACATCCTTTGCACAAGAAGTTCTCTTGGATTCAAACTCTTTAAATCAAAAATAGCAAGTTTGTTAATTAAAAAATGCATGTAAATACATTCATCATTGAGAATCTATAGGAATGACCTATTTGATTGACCAGAATATTTGCATAAAAAAGTTAAAATCAGTTGTCCTTGTTACATTTTACACATTGGCGTGTAGTGGGGTTTTACACAATTAATTGAGTAAATATTTAAATATTGAAAGAAAGTGCAACTGTTGAACCACATAATCTATTGCATGTGATGGTTAGCTTACTCTTTCAAATGTGCATAATGTTGATGTTACTCGAAATTGAGATACATTAAATTTAAGATTTCAACATGGACATTCTAGTCTTGAATCTCATATGTTTAAGCTGGATTGCAGTTATCTATAGCAGATTGATTCTATCATGGGATTATAATCATAAAGATAAAAGATCCAAGAAAGCATCATTTAATCAATATTGCTAAATGGAAAAATGAGTTTGAATCTCCTGCAAAAGCATGCTACTAACTCTATTCGACTAATTTTCCACTTGATGCAGTTTCTTGTTCTCAGTGGCACTACTGTACGAGGTCAACAAACTTTCAGGGACGATACTAGCTAAAAGTGAATCTAAAACAAGAAGGCACTAGGGGGATGGCATAATATAATGATATTCAGTTTTATCATCTTACCATGCTTTGTCTAAGTGACTTGATATCCATTAGTTATTTATCGGCAGTGCCAAATCTGGAATTGTTCATCTATATGGTTCCAGAAGATCTTAGATGGAACTTATTTTTCTGCTTTCTTGAAGAAAAAATATAGTAAATTTTGTTAGAATATTTTTGCTTCTGAAGTTATTTCTGCTTCTGTGATTCAGTTGATTGTGCTAGTGTTTTCCAGTATGGGTGATCTGATAGCAAGGTTGTGTGCAAGAGTTTTTTTTTTTTTACCCAATGCTCGAAGCTTCTCACGTTAGTGGACCTATGGGAGTGTTGATGGCAGAAAATTTATGAATTTCAAAGACCAAAGACCAAATTTAGTTACTTCAAGACCGAACAACCTTTTGACATTGCTGATTTTTAACTTGCAAAAAGAAAAAAAGAAAGTCAAATATATTTGAACATCTCAGTAAAAGAAAAATTAATTAATGACAAAAGTTAAACATTTTCAAAAAAACAACTACAGGATAATTTGTTTGTTTATCGATTCTTTTTGTTGATTGGTGAATATAAATGACATCATGAAAAATATCGAAATAATCAATGGGATGATTTACTTTCTGTTCTGTAACCAAATTTCATAAATCTAAAAAATGCGAAGGCTTTGAAGGCACAAAACATATCAATAGAAAACTGCTTCACTGTCCTTGGATTACATGACCAAATATATTGAGGAGGATCAGTTTGTTTGATCGCTGAACCTAACCAAGTCAACTATGAGTAGCCTCAATTTTGCCTTCGCCACAAATAATACAACCATTGTGTATTACATCCCTCTCCATTAATTGCTAGAACTTGTGTTTCACCAGAGCTGTCAAAGCTCCTTTTAACCTGACACTTCCAGCAATAAGTAGCAGGTTTTTCTTTGATGAAAGATCAAAAAAATAATTATTGGACTCCATTAGCTTCATTTCCTTAGATTTCTATCTGCACCTGCAAATTCAGGCACCTGTTCAGAAATTTCTCAGTGTTCAATGTTAAATTTTATGTAGCATTAGAGCGGCTGAATCAAATTTAGAAATGTGCTAATAAGTACATTTATTTTATCGTTCTGGAGCAAAAGAGGGTGTATCATGACAAAATCAGGTACATCATCTAGCATTAATTCCAAATAAAATGGAAATTGTGCCGATATGGAATGTCTTACCTACTTTAAGAAGCAACAAGCAGGTAAACTACAAGGCCAGACCCCCGCACATAATTCCTTTTGCCATTTGTTTAGTCAAATAATTTCTTTAATCTATTACATTGGTACAAGTACTAATTGATGATGGCATGCATAACTGTGTGTTTGTGAATATCAATAGTTGAAGCTTGACGTGTATAACAATTGACCTGTAATAAGCTTATGATATTCTTAAGAGAGTCCCATTAAATTAATGAAACATTTAATAATGGAGAATCACAGTATATGGCTGGCAATTACATGAATGTGAAATTCAGAGCATGGGATCAATTGAACATGTGAATCCTCTCTTTAATTTAGCACTCAAGTTAAACTGTTATAGATAGTATTCAGAAATAGCAGTATTCCCAAAAATCAATGCTAAATAAAAACTCACCTGCAAAAATGATCTTCTCTCTTAAATACTGAATAGTTCTATGAATAATCTTCTCATTGCTGGATCAACGTTGTTAGCAGCCTTTAGTTGAGCAAAAACAGTCCATCAATCCCATAAAGGCTCCTTGACAAGGACATTTACTTTCTCCTGGAGAAATTTCACTACATCTTCTCTTCCTTCTTTTATAAGCAAATGCCTTAACCTTCCAAACGTCACACCTGAAGGCCGAATTCCCTTTTCTATCATCTCTTCGAACAAGACACAAGCCTGAGAAGCATCACCCTTCTCGCATAATCCATTTATAAGCACTGAAAAAGTGTGCATGCTTGGAACAAATTCCTGTTTCTTCATGTACTTCCACATATTAAGAGCCATCTCTAAATTATTCTTTTCACAGAACATTTTTATCATCATGGTATACGTGTCTGCATCTGGCATGCATACCTTGATCATCTTTCGGAATACCTTAAAAGCCTCATCAGTCGCTCCATATCCAATTAAATTAGACAGAATGATGTTAAAGGTTCTTGAATTGGGTTTCACACCCTTGCAATCCATATCATTCAGGACCCTGTACACATTCTTAAATTTGTTTGCTTTACAAAAAGCGCCAATAAGGGCATTGTATACAGCCACATCAGGCATGATTCCATTCTTTTCCATCCGTAGGAATGTATCAACAGCATCTTCAATCCGATTTTCTATTCCATATGTATGAACCAGTATACTATAAATAAAAGATGTTGGCTTACAAACGGTGGAATCCATTTTCCCAACAATGCTAAGGGCTTCATCGACCCTTCCAGCCTTGCAAAGAATATCCACCATGATACCATAAGTCACGATATCAGGGCTGCAACCCATGTCAACCATTTTTCTGAAAATTTCCCTCGCCTTAGGTAGATTAGGAGCTTTTCCCCATCCCTCAATCAAGATGCTAAATGTTTTAGAATCAGGAACAAATTGGTCCTTCATACTGTCAAATATCTCTTGAGCTTTCCTCACATTCTTGGACTTGCATAAAGCACTAAGCAAGCCATTGAATGCAGCTAAGTTCGGGGGCACGCCATGCTTGTCCATGACATTAAACGTGTAAACAGCTTCCTCCAGCTTTTGAGCCCTAGCATACTGTCTCATGATAATGCAAAATGTCTCAACATTTAGCATTCTCTTACTTCTCATGGCATTCACAACATCCCACATGATTTGATACTGTCTTATCTTGCCCAAAGACTCTATCATGGTTTGGTAAGCCCTAATGCTATGCGTATAGTGGCGTTGCTTCTCTGCCCATTCAAAGAACCGATACGCCACCATACCCGCATTCTCAAATTTCTTAAGAACATTCTCAACTATTTCTGGTGAAACCCTGATACCATTTTGATTCAATGCAGTATCAAGAGTTACTGCTGGCGTGGACATCATGAGTTTATATATCTTTTTCGTTACATCTGAAATTTCACTTATGGGTTCACTTGAACTGTACCTTCTAATTGATATATACCATCCCAGATATAACTTATTTGTATGATTACTAATTGTACTCATATCAAAGAAACAAATTGACAAGAAGAATATCTATCTGACGCAGGACAGACTTAAAATTAGTATGTTACAATGCGATTCCAAAACCAGAGATTGAAACGAAATGCTGTAACGCATGCCTAATTGTTTGAGGCCTTCTATCAAACAGGTTGTGCGCAAAGAGATAGCATTATAACAAAATTAGAGAGAGAGAGAGAGAGAGAGTTGGCAATACCTAAAAGAGAAAGGCTCGAAGATCTTCCTTTCCGATATGGAGTTACAATGAATTATACCGCGACAATTTGAAGCAATAATGTTAATCGTGCTATGGATTGAATGAAGAAACAGAGAACGCGGAATGTTATAAGTTATAACACAAGACGCCCATCGTAGCAGGGAACAAAATTTTCAAAGCAAAACAAACAAAAATCCCAAGTAAATGTGGGGTCTAATGTCATTCCCTAGGGTTAGTTTATATTAACATATTACCACAAAATATATATATTCAGAAAAAACGTTTCTTTGAATGTCCCAAAGCAACTGGTGCTAAAATGGAAAACGAAAGAAAATGTGGTTAGATGTTGGGTGAATAAACAGTGATATAAGACCTGCGTGGGCCACTAAATTTTTATTTCAATTTTCTGGTTCTCCTATTCCTTCAATTTGCAATCAATATTCAGATTGATTTGTAAAAATTGAAGGAATCGCAGAACCAGAAAATCGACATAAAAATTTTTATATGGATGAACCAAAATCATGCTTTGAATTACTCTTTTCCTCTAGGAATATAACTTGTTTTAGTATGATACTACCCCCCACAAATATAAGTAGTTGATTTGAGAATATTTAGGGATAATTAATAATAAATTTTCAATTTTAGCCTTATTTATATATTAAATTCAATAAGGATAATTTAGTCAATTAATGAATATTTTATTATAGCTTAATTAATTAGTCAAATTAATCAAATTTTTTTTCAGGGAATTCAAAGTCTTCATTAAACAGCCCAAATATTTTGGCATGACAATGTTTTGAAACCATTGAGACATTGAGTTCATGAGACATAATCTCGCAAATCGCAAAATTCACACCATTTCTGCCGATTCACCAATTATTTACAAAAGCACATCTTTGACGCCACTAATGCTTTCAAACCAGGCGAGATGTAAGCCTTTCCACTTCACCAGCTCAAATCAGTCCATGAGTTTGTCACTGTAGCTAACTACTGTTGTTTCAGTTATAATTATTTACAAAAGCACATCTTTGACCGCCACTAATGCTTTCAAACAAGGCGAGATGTAAGCCTTTCCACTTTCCCACAGCTCAAATCAGTCCATGAGTTTGTCCACTGTAGCTAACTACTTGTTGTTTTCAGTTTATATATATTATATATATATATATATTATTAGTTTGCTTTCTCAGGAAACGAGAATTAGTTTGCTTTCTCAGGGAAACGGAGAAGGTTAATTATTTTCGCTAGCTTAGAAATGCACTAATTCTTATAACATCCACCTTTCTAAATTCAATGTCAAGAAATTCTCTCTTCACAAAAATCAGTCAGTTATTTATAATTTCTAGCACTTAATAATAATACACAGATATCACACTTTGAACAATGAATGGAAATAATTGTTACATAATTGCAATGCATATCAAGTAATATTTCTTCAACATAAATCAAGATTAACAATACAGTCATCCAAAAAATTTTAGGGGAGGGAAAACCATGTAAACAGTGTTCTTTTTGCTGGACAGATCAACGAAGACCTGTGTAGTATCTCCAGTTCGAGTACTCGAGTCCTCCATTAGCTATATTAACAACAAAATTGAATTCCATGTGATGAAGAACTAAAAGCAATCAAACTTAACCGCGAAGAAAGGATCAGTCAAGATATCACTGATGACACAATAACAGTGCAACTTTCCAAACAAGTGGAAAGTTCCCAAAAGATAATTTTTCAATTAATGGATGCAGCACAAAAGCTTTATGTCGCCTATGAACCCCATTTCGAAAGATGGCTAGTACAATGGATTTAATTTCACATAAATCAAATGTTAGTTAAAGAAACTACTACATCTAGTTACTAAATGATCCAAAATTCAATTCCAAAGGAGTTATTATAGATGATAAAGATAACGCACACACTCCTTGATAAATATGAAAATTAGACTTTGAGACATTTCACTCATTCACCATTGCCAGAGTTATCATCAGCTGAACATATGAACATACACGTTGAAAACCAATACCATTTCATTAATGATATCATCAAGATGAAAAAAATTAAAAAAAAAAAAAAATCAATTTCCAAGAAGGGACGTCAAAATTGCTAGAACAGCTATCACAATCATGATATTTAGAAAATAGTTAGACTGTAGAGGCTTATCTGGACTTCCACCAACTGCTTCATACTCTGCCCGTATCTTCTGCTTCATAGCATCTGACAATTCTCTCTGCAACGCAAATAAGCAACACAACACTTTATTGAATTTTATTCCTTTCTTCTTCAGTTAGACTGCCAAGTTTTAGGTGTGATTTCATAGGATTGAAAAGCTTGATCTTGTATTATTTTAAAGATACGGCACTAGAAATCAAGATACTTGTTTCTTAATCCTGCAGCAAATCATGAAAACCAAAAAAAAAAAAAATGAACTTCTTGCAAAAGTTTAAACTCCTCCACAAAAATCTCATGTGTGACCAAGAAAAGCTAGATATTTCGAATAAAAAAATCATAATGATTCTCATATATTACAACCTTTCCAGTTGAGTATTTGGCTGCTACAAACTTCTCTCCTGCAACACCATCTAGCACAATACCCTGATCATCAAATTCACCAATCAGTTTAGTTACCAATTTGTTCCCATTCTATTATTTTTTATGATTGAATTGCTCAAGGTACATTGCCATACATCATCAATCAAGGGTTAGGTTAGGATAGCCCAATAATTCTTTACGTCAGCCACAAATAGTCTCATCTTGTTTTTTGTAAAAAATAAAAAATAAACAAATAAATAATATACAGTTGGTTAAAATTCAGGACCTTCCAAAAATTTTCAAGGTAATAGCATTAATTATTAGAAAATAAAGTTAGGATAAACTATAGAGTTCACAAAAATCTAGAATGAAAAGACAAGCATTCAAAATAGTTATTATGACAAACCTCTGGAGGATCAAATTTAGCACCAAGGTTGCTTAGTTTGGCATGGGCTTCCGCATAATCTTTGAAGAATGCCTCCTTATCTTCAGCATATTTCTCGGCATATACCTGCAAGTTCTACTGCTTAGCTACCAAGAATATCCCACCTTGTGAACATTGTATTCTCAAACATAATTAATTTACCCTGAACGAAGGATCATCAAAAAGAACAGCATCAGTTGGCAATACAAGTAGATCTTCATCCTTCTTTGCTTTGATATCCTGTAGGGATAAATCATATTCAGCCACAAAAAAAAAAAAAAAAAAAAAAAAAAAAAAAAAAAAAACTGTAGGGATAATCAATTCAGCCACCAAATAAAAAAAAAAAAAAAAAAAAAAAAAAAAAAAAAAAAAAAAAAAAAAAAAAAAAAAAAAAATCTCTCCCACAAAAAATTTCTTGTTACAATATGGTTGCAGGTTTTGACTTCAAACCTTGAAGTAGGAGTTGTCAAACTTCAACCATTCTACTGTCCAGGATTGTCCTCCTGGTGCTCCTGGCCCATTTTTCTGTCATAAATAGACATAATAAGAATCTCTAATTCCATCCATCATTGCTGAGTTTGAAAGCTATTCCTATTATTATTATTATTAGTTAATTCATTTGCGAGCTATACTCAATGCATTATATGGGAAGAAACAGCAAGACCTACATAGGAATTGCAGAAACAAACCAAAATACCTATATCTTACATCAATTGCACACTAGTGCATGCACATAATATTCAACTGGCAAAGATGCTATAGAAGTCAAAAGGCTTAAACATAGATTTTAAGGATAACAAAATAAAATACCCATATCAGTAAACAGAAGCAGTAAAGGAGAATTAGCATGTCATACTGTCTGTTTCCACTTTTTTCTTAAGATAATCAGCTAGCAGTCAGGCATTAGAAGTAGTTGCAATGAGCCTGGTAGTTTGGCTAACACCAATTACATCTTGAACTTTTCAAGGCAGGAAAATTAACACAGTAACCAAGTTTTGAGCACCTACATTCTTATGAAGCAGTAATTTTGAAATTTTATCCTCTAGTGTTGCTCTTAATAAGCAATAACATAAGTGTAAAAGGCACCGTGTTGATTAATAATTAATCATTCAGTAGGATAATGAGGAAAATTCAACGCAATGATCCACAGTGAGAGTCTATTGACACATCAATGTGCACACGTGCATGTGTATGTGAGAGAGCATGAGACAAGGGAGAGATAGCTCTGATAACAGCTAAATGAATCTTTTGTTTCTTGTATGATAAAGCACAATGAATTGCATGCTAACCATTTTATGGCTAAAACTTCAATGCTCAATTGAAGATCAGATATAACAATGTCCGCAAAAACAAAACAAAAATAAATTCTACTTTATCTAATTAATTGGAAGACTATGGTTCAATACCGTATACTTTGTCTCTGGTTTTCCCCAGCCACTGCGATCTGGTCTAGACCTCCCCAGAGTGTGCGCGCCAGATAAAGCAACTATTTCCTGCAGATAAAATAAAAAAGTTCAACAAATACTAGATACATATCAAGATAGCTTCAGTGATAAAGAATACATATGATAAAAGTTACCTTATCATTTAATCCCATTCTGTAGAAAACTTCTCGTAAATGATCAGCAGGACTAGGCGGACCGGCACCTAAGCATCAACGTAATATGGTCAATCAAATATTTGCTAGACCCCAACCATTTCATTTACAGAACATAAATACATGACTTTGACTCATTTTTTCTCCTATGTACATTCTTCTGTTGATGTTTCTAAATTTAGGCCATCAACTGTACTGGTAGCAGCATGTCACAAAGAAGCTGCATTTTGTACAGGAGGCAACAACAGAGGAACATGCTCTTTTTTGTACAGAAATAACACAAAAAAAAATGCAAAATTAATTTACTCACTGGGAAGCCTTCCCTCTTCGGGACAGTCTTCAGGTGCTGAAACATCCACCCTTCCATACTTCATGGGGAGTTTGGGGCCCCCAGCTTCCTAAAATTGCAAGAGCAATTCAATAGAATAATTTGTGCGATCAATTGAAACATCATACTATCTCCATATTAAGAGAAATAAAGACCTCTATAGCAGTGGCACTAGCCAACTGAAACAAATCTGCATATGTCACACCAGAATACTTGTCCTTGATTGGCTGAAGGAGTTTCAAAGCATTTACCAGCCCTGAAACGCCAGCTCGTCAGGAAGAAATATTATAAACCAAGCTAAAGTTACACATGATATGAAATAACTACCTGCATTCGCTGCATGTTTTAGCTCAATTTCAAATCTGAGACTTCCATTGGCTCCACCTCTTTTTGGCCACTCCTCTATGTTCTTGTTGTATGTACCAGCATCATGCCATCCCAGTCGAACCTGTAATTATAAGCATTTTAGTGGGCTTGAGCATCAATGCTGTGCGGCAACAAGTAATTCAGCTTAATGGCTTGAGCATCAGTATTCTTGAAAATGAAATAATTATAAGATACTCGCAAACAGCAAATGAGATATAATACAGGAAAGTTCCACTGTTAAATAAAGAAACATATATTCTTATACATATTACAGATTTTATGTTCAAGTTGCCAACATTACATTTCCATTTATCCAGCGCAAACCAATTGGTCTTAACGCATTAACGATTTAGTCAAATCATGTTCTATACATAGGATAAAAAATAATATTCACGTTTTTTTTTTTTTTCTTTTTTTGTAACTCTATTTTCATGCACTTAAAAAATGAATTTTAAGAAATATTCTGTGTGTGTCCTCAGTTGCAAGAAACATACGAAATATTCCAAAAAATTCTTCATCTAGGAATTTTATATATGCATATAAGAAGTGCTTGTTGAGAATTGAAGTGCAGAACGACTATGATCCAACATAACCACACTCTCACAGAGCACATCCATTCAAAGATTCAATCAAGAAAAATCGAACTCGAAGAAGGCAACAGCAAAATTAACACACAGATCAAATCATGAAGCAACTATACAAATTTAAGTGTAATAGTAAAAGAAAACATACCAAAATAGGATGACAAAACGTAGATTTAAGAAGCTCTTTGATATCTTCTCTCGCACTCTTCAGCTGAGCAGGATCCGACGCTGCAGTCACCGTGCTCATCGCCGATACCGTCTACACACAACAGAAAACCAAAACTATCAGATAAACAGCCATAAAAAATCCACTAAAACAAAGATGCTTCACTACAAGTGTACATACCTTATTGAAGAAGACACGAGGTACGAGAGGAGAAGATCGGAGACATTTGAGAGGAGAAAAAGAGTAAGAGGAGGAGGAGGAGGAGAGAGATAGAGGAGAGAGAGAGGAGGAAGAGGTGGCTGAGTGGAATGCGATTCGGGCCCGAGAAGCGGAAGGGAGAAGGCGAGAAGAGGCGGCGCCACTAAGCGAAGCCATTGGCGACGATGGTGATAGTTGCAAGTGTAACAAGGAGTCTGCCATTTGTACTGCACTTTGCTAGCACTTTTATTTGTTCCTCTCGTTTCGGATTAGTGGCCCTGGCGTATGGCACGCACGCATATTTGCGACATGTTTGGTAGTTGGGTTAGGTTTATATAGTTCGCGTTTGTGACTTGCTGTCTTTATCCCATTCTCAAAAGCTACTCACGTTATTTAAGCCTTTGACTGTTGTGTTTTGTCAAGAAAATTGAACACTTACCATACGATTGTCCTTATTCCTTTCACACGCATTAACATGTGCAAAACATCCTTATTCCTTTCACACGCATTAACATGTGCAAAACAACCTATAAGAATTTCTATATTTTTTGGACTATTAAACTTGTCTAGACAGTGCACTCATGCACTAAATTGATAAAAATAGAGATTTTAGATACTGTTTTCATTTTATTCTTTTCGTTATTTAAGTATATTGTCAAAAACATCATTCATTTGAATCTTTTTTTTCATTGATTTAATCAATAAATAGATTCATAAATACAGTATAAATAAGTCGGTCCTTTTCTTAAAACTATAAAATTATAATAAGCATAATTTAAAAATCAAACTATTGAAACAACTAATTCAATTCAATAATAATCTTAAAATTTTCAAATTTTAGTTTTGTAAAAAGAAATAATCTATTTAAGCTCGTTTGTTTCTGTAAAATAACTTGCAGAAAAATAATTTGCTGAAAAATATTTTCATGGGGAATATTTTTTTTGATAAATATTTTCCAAATGACTTATTTCTAGTTATTTGTTGTAATTTTGAAAATTAATTAAAAATATTAAAGTTTTTATCTCATAAGACCATAAAAATATTAATTATAATAGAAATTTTATGAATATTTTTTTTTGATAAATAATTTCCCAATGACTTATTTCTAGTTTATTTTGTTGTAATTTTGAAAAATTAATTAAATATTAAAGTTTTTATCTCATAAAGACCATAAAAAATATATTTAATTATATAGAAATTTTTATTATTAATTATAATAGAAATTTTATAATTTATAATTTTTATTGTTAAATATGAAAAGAATGAAAAAAAATATATAGATTATAAAAGCTACCGGTGGCTGGTGGTGGTAAACGGTGACTAATAGTAGTGGCTATAATGATTAATAAATTAAAAAATATAGATTTATAAAGTTTGTCAAAGTCCAGAAAATATTTTACTCTCTCGAAAATAGGAAATTGTTTTCCTTAAAAAAAAAACTTAATTTTCCTTTGACCAGAAAAATATTTTCTATTTAACTTATTTTCTTAAACGCTTCAAATGACAGAAATTTGTGAAAAATATTTTTTTATAAATTATCTTACGGAAATAAATGAAGCCTTCATTTTATTAAATTTAAAAATAATTAAAACTGAATCCAGCCAATTCAAAATTAGATTAGATAACAACTGATAGCATGAATTATGGTGAAGTGTGAAGTATAGCTCATTGGGTACAGCCCGCCTTGAATAAATTAGATCAGATGAAGACAAAATTGAATAATAAAAGCCTCCAAATTTCATTGATTCCATATCTTTATTTTTAAAATTTGGCCAGCCAGTGTTGAAATTTCTTCCGTCCAATAAAAAAAAGAAAGATGTCACCTTAAGCAAATTTAGTTCGAAAGATGTAAATACAATAAAATAAAACAATGGTTTATGCAAATATAATTGGAATTTAGTTCACATATATGAAACTAAACAATTATCAAATAAATTATTGGTAATTTTTAATTAATTGTGAACTAAAAAAATACAACGAAATTCAATTTAACTTCTATAGATTTATAATCTAATAGTTATAAATAATTATGTGTATTTATAAATATTAGATTTATTACTTTGGTTATGTGTATCGTAAAGCCAAATTTCGTATTCGGACACAGGTTCGGACTTAATTTGAGTTTAACCTTTTCAAGTTTTTTTGAACTTGAATAATTCACGAACCGACTTGACTCATTTACACCTCAGGTCTAACAGTAAACTAGAACCCTTTTGACAGCTAAGTGCAAGAACTCGGATTGAATTTAGTTTCACTATATATGAATTTTATAAAACTATTTTTTCCAGAATAAAAGAAAATCTTCTTTTATATGAAAAATAAAATATATATTTTTAAAAATAAATTTCATAAACAAAGGCATTCTTTCTTTTCTGTATTGAGACTTTTGAGTGTTGAAGAAGGAATTTGAAGCTGCGTCACTTTCCACTTGCCAGTGGTGGCGGCTTCAGACTTGTTCAAAGATATGGTCGCTGACTACCTGTAATTCAAGCACACATCATTAGTTTTGTTCATTAAATAATTTAATGTTTCTTTCTTTTGCACCACCCAAGAAATATAATAATATAAAGTGTTTGAAAAAAAAAAAGTATATGAAATTTATTTTTTTAGAAAATAAATTATATTAAAATTTTTTATTTATAAATAAAGTTTCATGTTTGAATTAATTGTAAAATTCATTTTAAAGATATAATTTAACTATATAATTTTTACTTAAAATTTATTAATTCTAAGAGTTTTACCCTTAATAAGTTTATAGTTGATTTGAAAATTCAGTATGATTTGGTTTCATTTGAGTATAATCAAATCTACAAAATTAAAAACTATAGAATCATAATTAGATTTTTATTTATATCATATATAAAGATTATGAATTTTATGGAATTTATTTATACAGAGTAATTTTTTTAAGGACTTGTTAATCTCCTAAATACATATATAAAGATTATTTTTTAAGAGAATACACATATGAGACAAACACATTTTTTATCAAAACTATAGTAATTTTGATAAAATGTACTAATTCATAAATTTCACATACATTCAACTCAAATTATAAGAATTCCATTTCACATGGAAATAGAAAGGAAAATTAAACTTTTTTTATATAAAAAAAAATAGAATTTCCTAGGTAGAAGACTAAGCCAAATAGATGGATGGATGAAAAAATATTAAATGAAAGAAAAAATTTTGAGAAAAATAAAGAGGGAAATAATTTCCAAATGTGTTTTTATTTTGTTATTTTCTTCTTTTTTTTAATATTTTTTAGCATTTTTTACTATTGATGAGAGAGATTCAAGTTAAATATTCATTTATCACTAAATTAAATGCAATAATTTTAAAAATATTATTTTTATTTTGTATACTTATTTTAATAAAATATAAATAAATTATATAGCATAACATAAATATAATTATATTTATTATCTATTTTTAAATTACATTTTAGGAAATAAAAACAAATAAATTTCTACTTATGAATTTGTTTCATAAATGATTACGTGGAATTCAATTGAAATACATGTTTTAAATTAATAATACCAAATATGAAAATTTATTTACAAATAAATTCTATATTTTAAACTCATTTATCCAAACGGAGCATTACTCTTTCTAAATAAGCGAGATAAAACTTAATTTATTGATATTTTCTCCACATTCTTTCTTTAAAAAAAAAAAAAAAAAAATTCAAATAAGACTTCAAATTGGAGAGAAATAGGTCTATTTGCACGTATGGATGCAAATAGGCAATTCATAGATTGGCATAAGAAAGCCATGCTATCACATAGCCAATTTCATTTAGTAGGTTGTTGGGCTTGGTCTTGGGCTTGGGCTTGTTTTGACTAAATGATACTTTCATTCCCCATGAAATACACTCTTTGAAGGTATTGCCAATTTACCACAGTGGACTGCAGTAAAAAATGAGACCTATTTTTCATGCTTAAATACTTAAAAATATCAATTTTAACCTATGTTTTAATTATAATGAAATTTTCTCTTTCAAAAAAAAAAATTATAATGAAATTTTAATTTTTAATAAAAAATAATAAAATTTAGTAGATTATTTCCAATTTTAGCCATCAACTTAACTCTATCCATTTAAATTAAAATTTGCTTATGTAAATTAGTTTTTGCTAAAAAAATCCTAAAATAATTTCAACTCTTTCAACCGATAAAGTACTTGTATATCGTTTATCTCAAAAAAACTATTTAATTCATAAGATAATGTGAAGTAATAATAATATAATTGTAATTGGCATCGATGGGTAGCTGATAGCTGGTGGCTAATAATATTTGAAAAGATCTATCAATTTGATTAGACTTGAACTAACAGTAATGTTAAGTAATGTTGAGCGATCATTTGTTTAATTGTTCATTTCAACTTAGTGATAGAATCATAAATTAAAGTTAGGGGCTAAAAAAATTTCAAGAGTTAAAAGACTCGAAATTGAAAAAATTTACTATTTTAATGGATAAAATAAAAAAATTTTAATAGTTTATAGGTGATTTTTTTTAAAAAAAAAAAAAATTGGGGGCGATGGTCACCCCTAACTCCATCGATGTATTCATAGATAACTGATAGTTGATGGTGGCTAACAACAGTTAATTATGAATGTTGATATTTAATAAGATTTTAGCTAATAGCTTCAACCCTCAATGGAATATCAAGGATCTCTTCTTATTTAGAGGTAGGGTATGATTTAAGGTAAAGACAGTGGGCTCCTACTCATTGATTTTTTAAATCTCAATTCAGAATTTTTTACATTTTAATCCATATTCCTACATTAATTTAAATTTACTCCAAATAAATTTTACTATTTTTTCCAATAAATTATTACCTTTATATATTATCCTTGCTAACGAAATTTTCTAATCTACCCCCTAATTAGGGTCTCAAGTTTGAACTCTGATTATGAAATTCCTTTAAATATTCAGGAGAGGCACTTTGTTTCCTTTCATGGATATATCCGACGTCAATACATATTAATCAAATGAGTGTCTTCGATACTAGATGGTTTTTTTTAAAAAAAAAAAAAACACTTAAAAATATTTAAACATGAAGATAGTTATTCTTTTAAAAATATTAATTTTTTAAAATATTGAAAAAATGATTTAAACCTGAATTTATTATAATATCAGATATGTACTTATCACTATGCATTGAATTTCTTATTAAATTATGTGAAACCTCACGCCTTGCGCTGATTGTTTTAATAGTTTATAATTTATAAATAAATACATGTCAAATATTTGTTTGGCCGTGAATTGTTTTATTGTTATTGTAATTTATAAATTATTTTTAGCATACATTATTAAAATATATGTTT